TTTGTCACTTTTATAAGTTATAACTCTGTGCTAACGATGGCGCCCCTCAGTGACGATGCAGATTACGATGTCGGCGAAGCGCATGAGAATGTTTTAAGTCAATGGTGGAAATCACGAATACCGTGACAGTAGACGTAGAACTAGGTACGTTCCACAAGCTCTTCCTGACGCTCCGACCAAGTTGCGAAAGCGAGGTCGAACCCTCACCATAAAGGTATTGGAGAATGCGAGTAAAGAAGGCATTTTCAAACAAATTAGCTGCCATATTACATTCACAATATCTCATAATAATTTACAGTTACCCGGTTATTTCCCACTTTTTATTGAGATTTGTTAAAGCTTGGTTTGACTAACATTAACTAAAATGTTGCCGAATACAAGATTTATGTGTTTATAGAATGTCCAAAAATGCTCTCTTAAATTATTACTCATTGCTCTTATTCTGCTCTACTACTTGCACATGTCTCATTTTTCCCGCAAAGATGGTACTCGATTGCGCCAATCGAGCCCTGGGTGTGCCATCCTCTTGGGCCGACCAGAGATGGTCCCCCGCAGCAGTTCACTCACGCGACCTGGTTGCTTTGCTTCGCCTCCTCGTTGCTTTGGCGCGTAGATTTGCACCTGCTATCCGTCTGCCCAAAGGTGTCCATCTGACAGTGTTAATTGTTCGCAAACTGAATGGCATGTTACAGCACCGACGTCAAGCAGAGCCCATCACTGAGAAACTCGATGAATCTGGTCTGTTCTTTAGAGATAGTTTCATTTATTAAAAAATCGCATGCAGGACATTAAGCGCTTGTTGACAGCTATTCGATCCACCTATGAACTGTGATTGTCTCGAAAATGATATTTGCCATACAACGAAGTGGAGCAAAGTTCATATTGCTCTAATTAGATACGACATTTTGGGACTTTTGTGAGTAGAATAATTGAATATTTTCTGCCCGGCGTTCTTAGTCAAATGGGTTTTTTACTGCCATTTCTTTTGCCTCAAAAAATGCTGGTTTTCCCAGCTCACTATTTGCTTTCGGCAACTTATTTTACAGTTATAGGGATAGTTGATGTAGATTCTTCTATGTTTATTTTATCCTTTGGGTATAGAAGGGCTCAAAGGGCTGTGAAATTAGATTTATTTTGTGTCTCAGAAATAACTTTGTTTATTGATACTCGAACCCTTCAAACTAGCCATTATTTACGCTCTTACCTTGCTTCCTATTTTAGATGCTGACTCTGAGCGAGATGCAATCAGTGCTCTCGTAGATTGTGCAGTTCCAGAGAAACTAATTGCTTTTCAGGAGACCCTACTTGGCTTTGTAAATCGTCACTTGGCCAAATTGAATCTTCAAGTCACTAACCTCGAAACGCAGGTTGGTATATAAGCATTCATTGTAAAATAATTACCAGACATTGAGTTTTAAGGATCATGTTCTTTCAATACGTCATTACGTTGTTTGGAGCCTAGAATTATTGCTTTCTTAAAATTGGTTTGCCCCGTTTACGCAACTTTGTCAAATTGTCAGTGTGACCTAGAGTAAGGCACCCTGTCCTCTGCATTAGTACAAATGATTATTTATAGCATCGTACCAGGGACTGGTACATTATCATGTGTTTCATTTGCATTGTTTTGGACAGAGTCGCTAATCCTTGCCAAACTACAACTCATTAAACAGACATAGCAAAGCGGCTCTGAATGTCTACTTTATTTTCAGATTGAGTTAGTTGATTCACCTCGTTTGACCTAGGGTGATTACAACTTTTCAGATTCGAAGAGAAACTTGGTTCCTATGAATCTCCTGAGATAACATTGTTAGGGGGACCTTCATTTCGTTGGT